AATAATTTCAATGTCAAATATAATATCAAAAGTGTAATTTTTAAGTATACATTTTGTAGATATTTACAATATATTCAATGAAATTATTTACAAATATGCACTTTGTATATAGAATTTTAACACATTGTCTTAGTCATTATTTTAAATTAAATTTAACATTTTAAATTACTTAATGTTTAATAATAATAAATTTTTAACGCAATTAATTAATTAATTTCATATATTTCTCTCATAAGAGGTGGTATATTATTATCATAATAGTCGTTATAGTTTTTAATACGAATCTGATTCATGATATATAACACATTCAGACAACTCATTAATCTCAGGAATCGGGTCTCGGATTCACTCTTAGAGCTGTGTTTTAGCTCCAAATAGCGTTGAAGTAAATACATGTAAGTCTGTTGTTGGAGACTAACAAGTCAAATAAAAAGTGAAGTTCAAAAAAGAAATAAAAAGTAAAATTGTCTATTAATCAATATGGTGTTTAACTCACTTAATGATATCTTTCTGTTTCAAATTGGGTCGATTCGGGTTGAAGAGTATGATTGCCATTAACTATACAAACATGCAAAACATTATTCAATCATAAATTAATATAACTTTGAAAATTTTAAATACCAAATCAATAAGATTTATATCGGAATCATATTCCCCTTTCACGGTATACATAAACTGCTTATGTATTCCATAGAGGTTCCACTTCCCAAACTTTAGTAAATCTAACGGTAATATAACCGCATTTTCGGAGTCCTATCAACATTTCAATTACCATTTACTAAAGATACAAATATTTAAAACATGACATACAGTGACAACGGTCCAGAACTCGCCATCAAAATCAAAGGTGAGTACAGAAAGCAAGCAAATAATCTCAGGACACGAGGCCTTTAGTAAAATAATTTTGTCGTCTTCGCACAACTCCTTGAACTCATCGATAGTTTTACACATTTGTATCATTCGTCGACATTTGTTGTCCGATCGGGTTATCGTTGCGTTTACGAAGTCGTTATATGTCTCGACTTTTGTGGTGATCTTCGCCACCGGATCCTTCATATAAGTGGTTGAACTGAATAAATGTTTCAAACGACTCATCTCGAACTCATTAAAGCTAAAGAT